GCTCAGCACGCTTGTCCATGTGCTTGTAGTCTCGAGATTAGACTACTGTAATGCTCTCTACATGGCGCTTCCTCTGAGATCGATGCGGAAGCTTCAAATGGTCCAGAATACTGCGGCCAGGTTACTAACCGGGGTGAAAAGATTCCATCATATTTCCCCCACTCTGGCCGCCTTACACTGGTTACCTATCCACTTCTACATTGACTTCAAGGTACTTACAATTACATATAAAGCCCTAAATGGCTTAGGACGTCAATACCCGGCAGAGCGCCTCCTCCCACCTAGATCTACCCGTATCACCCATTCTATCCAGGCTGCATGGCTGAGAGGCCTAATCCCAAGAGAGGCCCAAAAGGAAAAAACTAAACGGGCCTTCTCGACAGTGTCCCCTCGCCTTTGAAACACATTGCCCATGGAGATTCGCCTGGACCCCTCACTGGGAGCTTTCAAAAGTAAATTGAAGACCTGGTTCTTTTGGCAGGCCTTCCCACCAGCTAGTACTTAGGCTCCTACGCTCGTCTTTTCCATCTTGGATTTTCATATATTATTTTTGTTTTATTTTTACTGTTTGTTTTAATCCTATCTGTGTTTGATTGTAAACCGCCCAGAGTGGATTTCTCCAGATGGGCAGTATAAAAATCAAATAAATAAATAAATAAAATAAAATATTAATAGTAGCTTCAATTCACCCAGTGCTGGCATTCATATAATCAAATTGGCACCCTTCATACTTATGAAGCAGCTGGCTGGATAGATTAGCAACTTAGATTTCTGGCTGCAGAGCTGGATATTGGGAGTTCAATTCTCCATTACACCTCCTGTAAGCAGAGCCAACCTGCGTGGCCTTGGGCAAGCTGCACAGTCCCAGGACACTCCCAGAAGAAGAGAACGGTAAACCACTTCTGTGCATTCTCTACCTGGAAAATCCTGAAAAGGGTCACCATAAAGATCATCAACAGATAATGATGATCATAATAATACATATGAAGGGGGTCTCAAACAGACTTTGGAAGCCATCTCGGTTTGCAAATGTACAAAACTTCTTTGAGCTGAAAAGTTTTTACAAATCTTGGGAAGGCAGAGAAGGAAGCACTCAAGATTGGAAGATATTGCTACGGGCCTTACCTGTTTCAGCCAAAACTTGAATAAAATTAAGAAAACACTGTTGACAGAAAGCATTCCAATGCTATTTACTGTGTTAAATATAATGGTATTCTATAAGACTCTGCTGTACGTAATGATAATCAACAGATGTTCCATTAAAATTCAAAATCTATTACTTTTTTAGCACATAGAAATATGCTAGCAGATTCTACCCACATTGAAAGGTATGACTATCATTTTGGAAGCATTTGTTACATGAATCTTAACACATTTTAGAGCACGGATATTCAAACAAATACTACTTACCTTAAATATGACTCTAAAATCCTATCTAGACGCTTGTAAAAGGGCCGTGATGTAAAATACCCACTCCAGTAATGATGATCTCTGTCGGCATATGTGAAGAAATCTCCACTAAGAACAGGGAATGCTGAATTGCTCTTCTTTTCATCCAAATCACTAGCTTTACGTAGTGCGGCAAAATAATCTGACAAAGTCCCGAACTGAGCCTGAAACAAAGCAGAAGTTTGTTTCCTGTAAGCCCTTAAAGAAAGTGGATGAGATGGGGAAGAACTTGTTCAGGTTGTTTTCACATATCATAAATTGTCATGTATGATACTGCAATATACTAATGGGAGAATGTTCAAAACAGAAATTTCCTTCTCTATGTCCCTCTGCCCTGTCTCACACTACAGAGAGTAGAGAGGTTACCATGGTTCTTCTAGTGGCCCTCTGTGAACCCACACAATTGGGTTGTCCTGCACCTGCGCAGGACCTCTCAGAGGTTTCTAGAGCTTAAAGACATGTGATTAGTAGGACGTTTCCCCGTGGAGTGCGTGCTTTTCAAAACAGAAATTTCCTTCTCTATGTCCCTCTGCCCTGTCTCACACTACAGAGAGTAGAGAGGTTACCATGGTTCTTCTAGTGGCCCTCTGTGAACCCACACAATTGGGTTGTCCTGCACCTGCACAGGACCTCTCAGAGGTTTCTAGAGGTTAAAGACATGTGATTAGTAGGACGTTTCCCCGTGGAGTGCATGCTTCGCCCACCAGAATCCCCTCAGTTCCTGTAAGAGTCCACCACTGTCAAAGAACTATATTAAAAAAGACAACGTGACGGGCCGAGGAACAGACAGAGGGGAGGAAGGGTGGGATGTGTGGATTCACAGAGGACCACTAGAAGAACCATGGTTACAGGTAGGTAACCTCTCTTTCTTCTTCGTGGCCTCTGTGAATGCACACAATTGGTGACTGACAAGCTCACTTACCACATGGTGGGACGTCACGGTAAAACTGAGGTCAAAACTGCTCTGTCAAAAGCAGCATCATTTTTTGCCCAGACATCAATACGGTAATGTCTCATGAAGGTCAATGGAGTAGACCATGCAACAGATGTGAGGAAGATCTATTCCCCGCTGGAAGGCAGTAGAAGTTGACAGCGCTCTGATAGAATGAGACTTAAAGTGTTCAGGCAGTGTTTTGCCTGCTGGCTCGTGGGCTAATGAAATGGTTTGAACAATCCATCGAGAGATAGTTTGAGGCGAAGCGGGAGCACCCTTATGGAGGCCATGAAAACATAGAAAAAGTCTTGGTGATTTTCTGAATGATTTAGTCCTATCAATGTAGAAGGCCAAGGAGCGTCTTACATCAAGCATATGGCGAGAAAAAGTCTTGGTGATTTTCTGAATGATGTACGTAGAAGGCCAAGAACCGTCTTACATCAAGCATGTGGCACATGCGTTCAATAGGTTTAGAAGGAGACAGAAATAAAGTAGATAGAATTAATGGCTAATTAAGGTGGGTGCTTCCTTGCTTCTTTATATAGTAAAGAGCTGTCGTATTATCTATAGCGAGATGTACGGCTTGTTCTGCAATGAGAGGTAAAAAGGCGTGAAAGGCCTTGATGATCGCTAAAAGTTTGAGGTGGTTGATATGTAATAATTTATCTCTTGTTGTCCATAGGCCATGGATTTTGTGATGTCGACAATGGGCTCCCCCATCCCGAGGGGCTGGCATTGGTGGTGACCTGTATCATGAGTTGTAGTGGTTGGAAGGGTCTGTTGATGAGCAAGTGAGGAAGAGAAGTCTACCAAGTGAGTTGACAGGCAAGGGGTCTGTTGATGAGCAAGTGAGGAAGAGATGTCTACCAGTGAGTTGACAGGCGAGCTCAGGTGTTACTGTGAGGCGTTTGGATGGATGGTCTATCATGGGATAGAATAATGATAGGTACCATGATTGAAGGGACCTCATTTTGAGCCTCGTGTGTTGGATAACAGCAGTTGTGGATGCCATGAGCCCGAGAAGGCTCTCACTTGTAGGGAGTCAAAATATGCTCTGATTTAGGTGGCAGTCTGTGAAGGTTCAAGGTGGGATTTGGCAAGGTTCACCTTGAGCCCAAGGTCTTAAGCCAGGCATGTCATTTTAGGGTGATAGAAGTTGACACAGTCTTAGAAGCGGCATCTGCGGTATGGTGAGAAACAATTTAGTCTTAAAGAGTATTGAGAGTGAATTGGGTAGCTCTGATGGCATCATAATAGGAGGTAACGACTATCAGCCAGTCATCTATGTAGGGGAACATGGAGATACCTTGAAGATGGAGATAGGCAGTGACTGGTGCCATACATTTGGTAAAAGTTCTCGGTGCCGTGGAAGAGAGCAAAACTGGTATGAGATGTTGTCGAATCTAAATTGAAGAAATTTGTGATGATGTGGGTTGATGGAGATCTGGAAGTACGCATCCTGGAGGCTGACGAGAACAAACCAGTCTCCCTGTTAGTTTGGAGAGGGATGATAGTGTCAAGTGTTAGCATTCTGAAGTGTCTGGGTCAAACAAATGTATTGAGGTGTCTAAGATCGAGAATAGGATGGAGTCCTCCATCCTTTTTGGGAACTGTAAGGTATCTCACGTAGAATCCATCATGTGGGGAAGAGGAAGGGACTATAAGTATGGTATGTTTTTGTAGAAACCTCTTCTCAGAGAGCCAGTGAATATGAGGTAGTCTTAAAGGGTTCAGGTGGTGGAGTATGATCAAATTAAAAAAAAATAGCCCTTTTGGACAATAGAAAGGGCCTACTGGTCATTAGTGATTGGACGCCAGGAGCTGACGAAGGGATGTAATCTGGTCTGGAATGGAGATAGAAGGGGTTTATGGATATTGCTTATCCTTCTTTTGTTGACGTCGAAAGGGCTGACGACGGGTCTGTTGCTGCTGGGGTCGAAAAGCAGGTGGTGTCGATGTTGATGGGCCAGAGTAGGATCTGTCATAGGTTTATGGTTTGTATGTTTGGTACGGTTGTTGGTATTGTTGAAAGGGCTGTTGAAAGAAAGTCTGCCTGTGAAACTGAGGGTGCTGGTAGCGATAAAGTTGTTAGGTAGAATATGAGTGTGCTGTTTTATAGATTTTATGAAGGTTATCCATTACTTAATCTGTCTTGGTGTTAAAGAGACAAGCATTATCAAATGGGAGGTCTTCAATTTGTGATATGATATCATCTGAGATGCTGGCAGATCTCAGCCAGGCATGTCATCTTAGGGTGATAGAAGCTGACATAGTCTTAGAAGCGGCATCTGCGGTATGGTGAGACACAATTCATTGTTGTTTAGCCAGGGTTGTAGCCTCGGCGTGGATGTTTAGGGCTTCTGTCTTGGAATGTCAGGAGCTGCTTGGAGTATGGGTAGAATTTTGTTCCACAGTTGGCGATGGTAGGCGCCCATTGAGGCTCGGTAGATTGCGACCCTCATAAGGAAGGATGTAAGAGAACATAGGTGTCTGCCTAAGATATCATGTTTTCTCCCCTCTTGGTTAGTAGGGGCTACAGAGGATTTATTACATGCTCTGAACTGATTGGATTAGACAGTGATCGAGTTCAGTGTAGGATGTTTAGAGAGAAACGTGGTATCAGGACCATGGGTCTTATAATAATTCTCTGCATGCCTCGAGATTTGTAGTGAGGAAGGGGGTTTGTCCCATGATTCTTTCACCAATTCAAGGATAACAGGGATGAATGTCAAGCTGAGAGGTGGCGTCTTGTCCTGATTAAGGTCGTCAAAGACCAGATTTTGTCTTTGAGGTGGTGATTCTTCTATGTCTAATTGTAAGGATTTTGCCATTCGTAACACTAGTTGAGAGTAGGAGGTAAAATTTTCTGAGGGGGAAGGTGGGTGATTCTTGGTGACATCAGAAGAAGGAGTAGGTAGATTAGAGGGAGATTCTTGAGAAACATCAGAGTTGGAATCTGGAATGGAACAAGAAGAGTCTGAAGATGGTGATGGCTGTGGAGGTTTAGTCGTTGATACCAAGGTAGGTGGTAACTGTGGAGTAGTACAGTGGTGCCTCGCTTAGCGAGTGCACCGTATAGCGATGTTTCCGTATAGCGATCCCTTTTTCGGGATCGCTATACGGAAACATACCCGATCTTCGCAATGGGGAAAAACCACATTGCGAAGATCGGGTATTGCGGCGGCCATTTTGCGGCGGCTTAGCGAGGGCGCGAAAATGGCTGCCGGCAAGGGGAATCCTCGCTGAACAGGTAAGTAAGCAAGGTATTGGAACGCATTAAACTAAGTTTAATGCGTTTCAATACGTTTTCCCTACCCGTTTAGCGACGATTCCGCATAGCGAGGGTTAATTCAGGACGGATTAACCTCGCTATGAGGGGCACCACTGTACATTGTTCAGTGTCGGTAGAAGGAGGGGGAGGACCCTTATAAGTGGTAGTAACTCAGAGAGGTTTGGTGTTGAGATTGTTTGGAGGATTGCCTCACTCATTTGGATTGAGAGTGTTCTTGGACAGGTGGGAGAAGAGTGCGTTTGAGAGCTGATTTGGTGAGGATCGACATGTGGTATGTCGATGTCTGGTACGTAGTAGAAGGACGATGTCGGTGTCCCAGTGGTGAAGGCGAAGCAGACGGTGAATGTTGAGATGGATAAATATATCTCACCCTTTTAGGCTCATCATAATATGCATGCTCAACCAAGTTGTCAGGGTAATAGGGGTCATAATGATGGTATGAATCCCCCTGTTCATATCTAAGTTGGTACCGAGATGGTTCAGGATAGCAATAATATTCCCTGTGCGATGGGTCATACTGGACTGGCGACAGGTGTCGTCTCTTTGCTCAATGTTTTCTAGGAGACTGGTGAGATGATGCAGATCCAGAAACTAGAACAGGTATCATCCGCCCTAAAGATGTAGGGCTTGAATGGGCTGAGTCTGAGCTGGAATGAACAACAGCCAAAGCTGGGCCAGTACTCGGTGAAAGGTTGGCAACAGAAGTAGCAGCCTGAGCCAATGTCAAAGTTTGATCATCTCTAGACAACTCCTCAAGGATCGGTGATGGTAATACTGATTGAGGTGGATCAATACGGGTCGATTTCATTGGTTTTTTTGTGTTTTTTTGTTGGTTTTTTTTGTCTTTTCAGGTTTATCTTTCTTTTTCTTAGAAGAGTCATCAGGACGGGTTGGGGCCTTCGACGCAGACGTCAAAGTCAATTTCAAATGGTCCTTTTGCCGAGGCGAAGGATTCGTCGGGCTCAATATCGGGTGAGGAATTTCATGACGTTTAGGAGTTGGAGACATCAGCAGATGCATGGGAACCAGATATAAAGATTTTTTTCCCAGAGGTAAGAGCGGAGCCTTTGAGGTCGTAGTTTTAAGGGCAGGTTTTGTAAGCTTTTTACACTTGGGACAGGAGTGTGTTTGATGTTGTTCCCTGAGACAAAAAAAGGCAACGGTCATGTCCATCAGTAAGCGGGATCTAACCATTTGAAGGGCCCGGAAGGGGCCATAAAAGGTTGGGAAAGAGAATGGAGAAAGGGGGGGAGGAAATACTGCATGAAGACTAAAAACTAGTCAGCTGAAAGGGGAAGAGAGATAACTCACAGGGGGAAAACATCCAAAGAAAGATGATTGAAAAATAAAGGATCTCAATGATAAAAAAATCTCAACAATAATACAATTGCTCTAACGTTCTGAAATAGGTCCAATCTAAGTGGTGTAAAAAGGAACTGAGGGGACTTCTGGCAGGCGGAGCATGCACTCCACATAGGAACATCCTACTAATCATGTCTTTACGCTCTAGAAACTTCCAAGAGGTCCTGCACAGGTGAAGAACAACCCAATTGTATATGTTCACAGAGGCCATGAAGAAGTACCTAACATTTATAGTCACTGAAACACCTTTTGAATGCCATTAGTAATGACTGAATAACCTTGTTCGTGAAACAGTAACAGAAATCATCCTTGTTTAGTATTATTCACAATCCAAGCCACTAAGGGCCCAAGTATGACACATTGATTGATTGATTGAGTGATTGATTGATTGATTGATTGATTGATTGATTGATTGATTGATTGATGGATTGATTGATATCCCTGGTATATTCTACCACTCTGGACAAATGCAATGAAGATGAAGATACATTTCCTGAATTTAATAAAATAGTGTTTCATGCATTAGGAGCCTCATGGTGCATTAGGAACATGCTTTAGTGTTATAGTGGTTACATTGCAGTATTTCAGTGAAGACTCTGCTCACGAACTGAGTACGATCCTGGGCTCAGGTAGCTGGCTCAGGGTTGATTCTGCCTTCCATCTTTCTGAGCTCTGTAAATTAACTACCCAGCTTGCTGGGGGGGGGGCAGTGTGTAGACTGCATAATTAAACTGCTACACATCTCTAAGCAGTATGGGGCAGTATATAAGCTGCAAAAGCTTTGCTTTTAGGCATACCCCAATGTAACCCGACCCTATTCCAAAGTTCCCCCAAAGGTACGCAAGGACCATGCATCTTTTTTTTAAAACCAGAACTTCACTACTGGGTGCAAGGTTCTGCTTCAAAGCAAATTGTGCACTTCATAGGTGCCTTAATTTAGAGCAAAGAAACTTTTCTTTTGCAGCAGATTTGATGACAGAATAGTGGCAGGGTGCAGCCCTTTCTGGATTGGGAATTTCAAAGCAACTCTCTACTCCAGGGTGTCGCTCACTACTGCTCTACATGTTCCTGGAGTACTCCCCCCATTGAGCTGACTAACACATCTTCTTGGTTGCTGAGTACAGGTTTGCACTAACAATCATCACAGAGGGTTTTCCACCATGGACCGTGCACTCCCCACTCAAAGAACCAAAATGAAAATGCTGAACCCTGGGGCAACAAACACTATAAACATCTGCATTAGTTTGATTTGCCCTTACCTTAACATGGAATTCAGGATGAGAATTCAAGTAATCAAATAGTTTCTGATAATTCTGATATTGCTGGTCCCATTCTGAACTCTCACTGTAACGGAAATCATCTCCTAGAGGAGCCAACAGAACTCTGGTACGGAAAAGTTTTGACTTTTTTCTATACTGATCCAAAATCATCCATGCCCTTAGGAATAAGAAACAGAGTAAGAAAACAAAGTGACATCAGTTGACTGTTTATACAGAGCAATTATGCTCATCAAGTATATGTGTTCAATGCAAATAATTATAGCTTTCTTTTTTTAAAGATACAGTTTGACAATCAAATCCCTGGAAACTTCACATCAATAGTTTCTGGTATAACATGCAACCCTCTTTTATATATCTTCACAAAAATCATCTCCTGCCAAGTTCAATGCAACTTATGCTAAAGTATATGTAAGACTCTGGCCTTAGATAATTTGTGTTTAGTCAATATGAGGAATCCAAACACAGCACTATTTCTGCAAGAGAAAATTAAATGTTAAAAGGAAGCAAACATGTTTAACCAAACAATTTCTCTGTTGAATCACAGCTGAAGTTCTACATAATTCATTGTTCATAAATAGCAACATTGTTTTCACACAGCCAAGTAAAATCAACAAGAGTTTTCTCTTTAATCATGTATGAAAAACTAGGCATCCATATAAAGAAAGGTAAAAAAACACAGGAAGTGCTGTGCTGGATCAGAGCAAAGACCTAGCTAATCCAAAGTTCTGTTCCTACAGTGACAAACTAGAGACCCTAGGGGAAGCAAAACATGAGCAAAACAGCACTTTCCTGCTGATCTTCTGAAGCAATGGGCACAGAGAAGCACATTGCTTCTGATAAGAGCTTGGAAGTAATGGAAGTATTTAAAAACTAGATACTTTGAAGTGTGTTACAAAGTTCCATTTTGAATGTAAAGCTATCAGCCAGGACAAAATTAACTTTATTTGTGTAACAAGTAGCATTTTCTGATTATTTTCAAAACCTTTTCAGGTACTGTATCACTATTGTTCAAATTCCCTCTCTCCAAATAACAAGTAAGGAAACAGGCAGTGAAACAGACAGTATAACAAATTGCTATTTCAACATTGGAAGATTTACATCGGCCTAAGGGTACATGCTGGGTACCAAGTGTGGCATAGTGGCTAGAATGATGGACCAAGGACAGCTAGGTCTGAGTGCCTGACTCTGCCATGGAAACTCACTGAGGGAGGGGCTGGTGGAATTGGTAAAAGTACTCCTTAAATATCTCACTTACCTTGAAAACACCATTAGGGTCACTATAAGCTAGTTCTGACTTGACGACACATAACAAGAAGGGTAAGTTCATAAATTGTGGTGGCAAATTACAGCTAATTAACTGACTGCTGCACATATTCCTGGTTGCTCACCAAATTGTGTGACTGGCACACACAACCGGGAATGCAAGTGGCAACTTGTTAATTATGAACAATTTGCCACCATGATTTAATGCAATAACACTTACTGTATATCAGTGCCGCATCCTGAACTGTAACAGGGAATGTCGGGAGGTTACTTTTCAAATGCGGTAGTGTGTAAAAGGGACTTCTAGCAAGTTACATTCCACACTCTACCTCTGAATCCAAAGTACCCAAGAATTCGTATAAACTACTGATATCAAAAGGTCAAAAAGGATTTGAGATAATAATTTTAAAAAATTAATACCAATATTTATAATATTTCACTCATAAGCCTATTCATATTTCATTCATAACCCTATTTGTTACACTGGATTAAGTGCAATAGCAAAAAATGAGGGATATAAGAAGCGACTGTATAACTAGTGGAAATTTCCTGCTGTAATTTAGTCACTGTACTTAACACCAGTGTAACTAACCAACAGGATTCTTGCCTTTAGAAGTGCAAGTAAATATCCTGGCATCCATCACCAAATCTGGTGCCAGGTGCATCAAACAGGAGCATATTCTCTTAGCATGATGTGCATGACAAAAAAAAATCAAATTTCTTTTGCTTCTGGTTCTTTTGAGGATGCGTCTCATTTTTGCATATGTGTGTACCATTCCTTTTGTTTTACAAGCAAGGGAAAGCTTCTTTCAGGTCTCCATGTTTCCCTGTTTGTATTTTCTGGCACTTTAAAAGCCCTTAAGAAGCATTAAAATGCAAGAGGGAAACATCGTTATCAGACCTTCGCAGGCACTCGATTATATAATCTAATTCAGCACCACCACCACCAGGCACACCACCACCAGAGGCCACACAAAGATGTTCTACCAGCCAAAATAACCCCAACACTTTGTCCTATGCACATACAAAAAAAGAAATCCTCATCTACCAATCAATTCAAAAAACAGTAAACCACTTAAAATTGTGTGTGTGGGGGGGGGAGAGGCAGTATAAGTTCAGTGCAGCGCAACCTAGAACAAAAGAGGCCTGTGGGCTTGGGTAGCACAATAGGAAAAAAAAGGCGAGAAAGCAACTAATCTGCCAGGAACTGCCAGCTTGGCACACAGAGAAAATTGCTCATCAGAGCAACCAACCACACAACATCAAGAACAACAAAAAGTTCCTCCAAGCTGTGGCCGACCAACAACCTCTACCAACCACTCAGCCCAATGACAGAGTCAAGAGTCACAAAGTCTACCCCTCCTCCACAAACAGACCTGAGAGAACCCACCAAAATATGCACTTTTAACAGAACTAAATACCAGTAAATTAACCAAAAACCAAACAGGGGAAGCACACACAGGTGGGGGGAGACAATGAAAGATGCATACACAGTGATCTTCCCCCCCAAAAAAAAAATAGAAAAGGAAACAATGAAATGACAGCAAAAAACTATATATAACCAAAACTTACCTCAACCAAAACTACTAAAATATGGGGACATTCCCCACCCTCCCACCCCTGTCTTTTCTACTCCAGCAGTATCTACATTCTAGACACTTAGTAGGTTTGTTTCTTTAAGCAGGATTGTAAAATCTATGTTCTGGGTTTGGAATGGCTTGATACTCCCCCTCTCATGACTTTACCTGTGCTGTACGTTCCCAGAATGAATGGCTTCAGGGGGAACTCTCCAGGGGCAACTCACTCTCCCTCCAGGCAGACGCTTAAAATCAAACTGGCAGCAAATTTTTGGATCTGGTCCACAAGTGTGAGGAACATCATAGCTATAAAAAGGCATCATGTGGCAGAGAATATCCGTATTAGATCCCGTATCTAGAATTAAAATAGGCAAGATAAAGATAAAAACAGAAAATGCTCCACTCTGTATTACAGGCCAGGCCTACACATAGGCCATTTATTTATCTTATCTGTTTTCTTATCAGTTTAATTTCCCACACAAAAAAATTACTTCCACTAGTTGTTAGCTCCAGGTATGTCTTCTTCCTGTACAGTGGACCCTCTACTTACAGAATTAATCCGTATTGGAACGGTGGCTGCAGGTCGAAAAGTCTGTAGGTCAAGGCTCCATTGACCTACAATGCATTGTAAACTGATTAATCCCGTAACCAGCCGTTTTTGTTCCATTTTTTTTCCTGGTCTGTAGGTCGATTCTCCGGCTGCAAGTCGAACCTAAATATTGCAGCCAGAGAAGTCTGTAACTCGAAAAGTCTGTAAGTTGAGCCATCTGTAAGTCGAGGGTCCACTGTACTTTTCTCTACAAAGAATATGTCTACTCCTATAATACAAAGTCTACTGTGCCCCTTTCAGGTTTTCCCAAAGTCTGCCAGAAATATTCATTGAAAATCAATCAACTGTCATACCATCTATTCACCTGACTGTAAATGAAAGCACTAGTGAGATTTGCATACTAAATTTATTTCCCACCCATATATTCTTGGATTACATCTGTACTGGATTACAAAAGTAAAGGAAGGCAACATAAACTGAAAGTGATCTGTTGTGCACTACCTGTGAATACAGTTTATACCCCACATTCCTAGCAATGATGCTCAATTGTTAAGAATTCCCAGCAAAAAACATTACAGTGGAATGCATTTCACATGTCCCATCTCAGTAAGCTTCTATTGTTTGAGCTATAAAGGAAAATGTCTCTCACAGATACAACACATTCAAACTGATCAATCGCAAGTATTCCACAAGCCTGATGATCTTTCCAATAATTTATAACCCAGTGATCTTCAGGGTGTTTAAAGCTTACATGTTAGTAAAAAAAAAGTGTATCAGTGGTTGAAAATACATATATCCTATATTCTGCTGAACATTGCATCAGCTCAAGTATGTCAGTACCAACTGTATGTATATATGCTTACGAGGAGTAAAGAAAAGCACTGCCATCTTTCTTACACCGTGCACTCATCTGCTTTAAGGCTGGCCACATCCATTTGCATCTGTCCAGGCTTTTCTGAAATTTCACATTCTAAACTCTTTTAACCCCTTTGTTAACACATCCCACCCTTCAAAAAGGAAGAAGGAACTATGGAGCGCCAAAAAAATTAAGAGAACCTTGAATTGTGGATGACTTCAAAGCTGGAATCAGAAATCTTCCCTCCTTGCTAACAATATGTTCAATAGCTATTACCTCCTCAATAACACAAACAAATGGTAAAATAATCCATTTTTGGAGCTGTTTACAACACTGCTCTGGGCTACTGGTCTTATTGTAATGTAGAATAAATTAATCACATTCATTACAAGGTATGTTATTTTTATACTGTGTTGCTCACAATGTGGGATTTTAGTAATACTATTTTACATAGGAATATACTGTATTTATATATATATAGAATTATTGAGAATTATTTTATATTGCAAATATTCAACCTTCACAAAGGAGTAGACAATGCAGGGTAATGAACTCAACACTGCTGTTAAATACTGTTACAAAAGCTTCTGTGGGCTTCAGGAGAAAGAAATGGAAGATTACGTTTAATAGGATAATTTTCTGCTGTTAAATACTATCAGTTATTTCCCAACACTTGTTTCCATCTGCATTAAAAGCTAGTATTGTGATGCTCAAAGCCTCCCTATTTTCAGTTCTCCAGAGCAAATTCTAATAATTTCAAAACCTCCAAGAGCAAACAATTTCTTTACGCTTTGACAGTATGAGTTTAAATAGCTGCAATGCATACATAGCTAGCTCTTCAGCCCTTAAACGTTTCTTTCAGTATTTTATGTGATAGGACATGGGTGAATGTAACATGCAATTTCTTGAAGGTCATTGAGCAGTTTCAAAGTTCTGCAACTCACTTAATGATCCTGTGACCCACAATCTGGTAATATCTAAAAGATGTACAAAGAAGTGTCAACACAATTATTTTCCACTTTCTGTTCCTTTCCCTATTATATAGCTTCAGTGAATACTAGAACCTAGAGGGCTACTTTAAAAAGTAATTCATTCCAGTTACACTTCCAAGAGCTCCCAAATAGCTGGGTGCCATTAGCAACAACTTTTAAAATAGTAATTCAAGTTTCTCAAATGTAACCATTTAATTGCTTTTTGCAAAACCAGTAGAATCCTACTGCATCTTACAGATTTAAATTTATAAGAGCATGAGGATGCATAGACAAAAATCTAGTTGATCAGAAACAATAGTGTTGCAGCATCTGAAAGACTAACAGATTTTACTTTGCATAAGCTTTTGTAGATTGTAGCCCTCTTCTTGAAATGTAGTAACACAATCATGATCATCATCTAAAAACTCCAGAGTTTGAACAGACTTTATGGCTTATCAAGTCCAGCCCCTGTCAAGGAGCCACAGGGAGGGACTGAACTCCCAACTTCAGACTCCACAGCCAGATACCTAAACCACTCTGCTATCCCGGACTTGCTAGTGCTCATAATGGGAGAGGTTCTATAAATCACTTTGCATCTACTGATCCATACTGAAGATTGCTACATAGAGAACTGTATAAATGTTCTGATCAAACCAAGTCTTTTTGGCTAAAAAGTACTGCCATTAGGACACTTCTTAATATGAAAATGCATGCAAACTAATACATACCCCAATTCTGCCTCCAAAAAAATTCAAGTGACTTCTGAGTTGCAAGATGCTTTTTAATTGAGTAATGAACTCTCTGTATAAGCATATTGGAAAATCCAGTGCCTTTCAGAAGATAAGCCATGGTTGGTGAATGCCCAAAGGGATCAATTGCCCAGCCAGATTTTGGTTTTACTCCTGATAAAAAGAACATAAGCTTAAGATAACATAATAGCACTGTATACCAGTACAAAGTATCTCTCTTTTTTTAAGGTTGACATCTCACCTTACAGTATCTCAGCATCTTAACTCCTCTTTAACTCTGGAATGGGGAAAGCCCTTAAATTACTCATTAAGAAATCCTATGTTGACTTACCTGGTCATACATAAGTACATCACCTCAATGGGCCAATAGACTATGAACGCATAATGTTGCACTGTAAATTACTTATCGGCCATTAACCTTTGTGAATACAGTATGTACCAGCAATATATTTGTAGATAAAATTAAAATTATGTCTACTCTCCGAAATATCTGTAACTAAACCAAAAGGAAAAGCAAACACATAAATATTGTGGCACCTTTAAGACTATGGTATTTCAGCATAAGCTTTCACAGACATTGTGTCTGAAGAAATGGGACTGTGGTGAGCAAAAGCTTTTAAAGGTGTCACCTCATTTTTCCCTTTGTTTTTACCGAAGCAGACAAACCCTACCACCTGCATAAAAACTGCCAAAATGTTTGTCATCCCATAATAGATTATATAAGACCTGAACTAGAATAGTGTGGCTGGAAAACTCTGTCACTTCTGCTTAGCTACAAGATTCCAGTTCCAGTTGTTATCTTTTTTTAAAGTACCATTTATTCTAAGGACACTTAAGGAATGTATAATTGTTCAAATTTCAGCTCACTAACCAATGAAACAAAGGTTAACTCTGCAGTCTTTTAACCACCGTTAGGAAATTGATAGCTCTCATACACAATTTTTTATTTGAGGCAAACAGTAGTTTAGCATTGCACCTGCACCACTGATACCTATCAAGAGCTCAAATCAGAGTTTGCAAAACTGTGTAATCATATTTACACATTCTGATTTGAAAATAAGCATAGTTAAGACTGATACAGCTGATTTAAAATATTACTACTGCCAATTGCAGCTTTTTATGGACAAAAGTACTCAACAACAGAAGCTAATCACATTACCTACTGTGATCTGGAGACAGTAATGAACTTGCTGCCATAACAATTTTAGGCTTACCCAAACTCTGTTTTCACACTGCTGGCAGCTTCTACTAGAAATTGGGCAAACATATAAAACCCTGTTGTCAAAAGCACAGTGTTACATAAACTAACACTTCTGAACTGCAGCTTGTCTGCAAGTCATCAATAGCAGTTTGGCAAAATGTTATTGAAAACAGCCAATTTAACAATTTGTATCTAAAAACCTTTGAAGATATAGAAGCAATAGTAAAAGTAAATTAACAAAAAGATGCATGAACCTACCTAGTGCTTTTTCTAGCCACTGGTGTCCTTCCATCAGCTGGTCAATTAAAGCAAAATAATGTGGAGAGGCTTCATCAGGCATGACCCATCCCCCAGTTACTATTTCAAACTGGCCATCTTCAAGTAACCTGAAAAACATGTTTACTAAGCTTTTGTTCATGTCTATAACGCTCTTTTTACACACACACACACAATGTTGAGAATGATAATCTTCACAACATCACTAACAATTCTGTGTCATTCAAAGAGAAGCCTCCTCATCGCCTGTATAATTCTTAGATGCATATTTTACTGAAAATTACAGTCAGGATCCAAAAATGTGCTTCTGCTACCTCCCACTGAACACCAGAATCAGTAGCCACTCCCAGTCCTTTGATTTAAGTTGGATTACTCATGTATCTCCACATTCAGGTGTGATTAAGTAAAATATTGATAAGGTCAGCTTCATCCAAAGCTGCATTAAACCATGAAGCCCACTGTTAAATAGTCATCTGCCACTATAACATAATTGGGGATAACACAATGCTGATAGCAAAAAATTTGTCAAAGAACTGAACGCTGATTTATATTACAACCTAAGCTGGTAACACCGGCATTTATTTGCTTCTCACTATATAGCTATACTACAATATGTGCCACAATAATTTTATTTGTAATTGTTATCCTATCTATGCATACTGATATTATAATTTAGTCAGAGTGTTAACCAGCCTCCAAGTGTCCAATTTCACTTGTAGAGAGTGTGAGTAGCACTAGACTGCTCCGCCATTACAAATAAGTCTACAACATGACTAGCAATCGCATCCACATTTCTGAGATGGCAGTCTAAAGAAAAGCACACAAATGACAAATACATCATATACTATTGCAAGGAAATGCTACATTACTTAGGACGGGGGGGGGGTTAGTATTTGGTGCAGAATTACTGCAGAAAGCATGTGGCACTGATAAATTATGAGCCTCTATCCAGTTTTGACAGCATGAGCATGGCTAAGATCTTTAAAACATTAACCATTTAACTGCTCTTTCAGTGGAACTGGAAATAACACAAAAGAGCAGGAGTTAGAGAAGAGCTAGAACAGGGATAAGGAACCCACAACTTGCCAGATGCTAACAGCAGATGCAGTTCCTAATATTCTTCACCATTGGTTATGCTGTCTAAAGCTGATGCAAGAGGCAATCCAAAAAAAAAAATCTGTAAGTGCATCTCTTCAACCTCTCAATGCCAGAAGAACAGATGACCATGACCTGTTGCCGTTCTTTGGCAATACAGAAAAATACAGCATCTGAAATCTTGATTACAGCTTCAGATTCTGATGGCCACATACTGAAGTGGCTAATGTTATTCATCCATGCTCTCTCTCCAAACCTCTGAAGGCAAAGAAGAAGCATTACTGTCCACAGGAAAATGTGGATTTGTCATTAAACCAATGTTTAGTATAGTTGAATGCTCACATTTCTGACTTGGCCAGGTGACCACTTTTCGCAATGTTCTTGCTTTCTGTGATAACTGATGATACTGTCATCATAAACAAATGGCCACTGCCATTTCTTAGCATTTCTCCTCCAAACTGTAGCTATGCCACTTAAAAACTGAAGTTTAATATTAAAAATATTAATCTGTACTTTAAGACATAAAGCCCAGGTTAAACTATATGTTACAATACTACAATGTATGCACTTACAAATATTGAATACAACTATACAACTATTGATGGAGTTTAACATAAATTGCCTTTACAACTTCTTGTGGGACAGAACATAAGATCAGCATGTAATAAGGAAATAAAATATTCAGACCTTTTCACAGCATCCTTTTTTTGACTATCTATTCCATCCCACCACTTTGAAAAATATGAGATTTCAGACCACATGAATTTCCTCCGTTTGTCTTCTTGCAGTTTTACAACCATATTATTGAGAATATGCTGTGTCTGATCTCTGAAGTAGTCATCAAATGTCTTCAACCAACCTATAAAACACAAGAACATGTTGAGCAAATCAAAAAGAATGGAAGAAGGCCAGGATGTCCCAGACACAATTATCATAGTCATTTTCATGGCCAAACTTACTATGTGACCAGTTTGCAGTTTTGAAGTATGCTAGAGGATTACTGAAGCTAAGCAGAGGGTATGCATTTATTTTTAAGGATGAAAAAAATGAAAAGGGGGGTTCAACTCTGTTCAAACATCTTCCATTACTAATTGAACCTCATGAGGAACAAAACTGTATGAATGGGATTCATTTCATTATTCCATTTATACCCTGTCGTCACTCATTTGAAGATGGATAATGGGACTTCCATTCTACAGTAGCTGAGCCCTCTCTGTCAATATAGCTTGGTGAAAGTGCTAAATGGCCAAGGAAGACTGAAGTCAAGTGAGAAGTATCTCAGTAGACGGCAACCACTGAAATCACCTCTGCTCCTGGTGCAGTTGCAGATGGTAGCAAAATAAGAAAAAAAGCCCTAAAAGTCCTTAAATGGGAGTAATGGAAACAAATGTGATGTGAATGAATGAACAAACAAAACAAATGTGATTTCAATGAATGAAAAATGAAACAAATGAAATTCCTGATAACAAAAATGAATGGAAATAAACAATGAAAAATATTTTCTTCCACTTCCCTTTAAACTAAATATGTGTTGACTTGATCAAGGCTGCAAGTGGCTATAAGCCTTCAAAAGGGAATAGTGGCATAAGTGAAAATAATGGTAACTTAGATACAGATGGATTTCCAAAGATTCATAATTATTAAAGGTAATGATTTGAGCATGGCATTATAGCATACAGCTGTAATATTTAGATGCAAAGTGACTAAAGTGGTTTTAAATACTGTATTTAAAAATCTCCCTCACCCCACACAGTCTACCTTGCTGCTTTGAACTCATTAAAACAAAAGCAGATTGTAACAAATTTACAGTATTAATAAATAAATAAACTTTATTTATGAGAAACTTAAAAACTAGTTTTGGAGGCCATGAAGGTATTATCTGTTGTATTAAAAAAACAACAGTCTTGAAGCGCCTTGAAAATTAACAAGTAATGGCTGAAATCCTATCACTTAGCATAGTAAGTCACACTAGAGTAATCCCATTGAACCAGTGGGGATTTTGGTTAGTTAACTTCTCCACTGATTCAAATGGACATACTCTAGTTGTGACTTTAGCATAGTAATTCATAAGTAGAATGGGTCCACTTGAATCAATGGAACTTACAGAGAAGTTGACTCAGTAGGCCTACTTTATGCTGAGCAAACAGATTTCAGCCAATAAATATCTGATCAAGTGAGGTGCAGTCCATTAAAGGATATGTCAAAATAAACTATATGATCTTTAAGGTTGACTCCACAAAGGAAGCCACAGCCTAGAGTTGCAAAAGCTGCTAATCCGAACACCTTTTGACATTTCATAGGGTCACCATAAGTCAGAGATGAACTGATAGCACATAAAAACAAGAAGAGTCTTTAAGGTGCAAGAAGACTTAGCAAAACCCAAAGGACAAAAGAAATGTAGCTTGTTTATTTTTATAACAGCAGAGCAAGCAAACTTTTAAAAAGACTGCAAGGTAGAACTTCAGCAGACAAAGAGATGAGAAAATGTCAGGCAAGCACTGCACTGAAGAAATAAGGGAATGATCATTCTTAAGCACTTTCTCAAAGTTCATTCACTCATAGTTGTTGTGGGTTTTCTAGGCTCTTTGGCCGTGTTCTGAAAGTTGTTCTTCCTAACGTTTCGCCAGTCTCTGTGGCCGACATCTTCAGAGGACAGCACTCTGTCCCGGAAAACCCACAACAACCATTAGATCCCGGCCGTGAAAGCCTTCGCGAATATATTCATTCACTCATCTTACATGTTTAAGTCAAACCTAAGACAAGTGCAAGAAACTGATACGTCTTCCCAGTCTACTGCCTTTACTGCCTGTGCCTTAGGTTTGTCTGTACGATAAGTTACTTCTATGGGCTTCTGGTAAAGGGAGCCCGTTGACAAACAGAGAATCCAGCAAACAGTATGTGATGCTCCGGTAATTTAGGTCAGTGGTTCTTAACCTTTGTTACTCAGATGCTTTTGAACTGCAACTCCCAGAAACCCCAGTCAGGACAGCTGGTGGTGAAGGCTTCTGGGAGTTGCAGTCCAAAACTCCTGAGTAACCCAAGGTTAAGAACCAGTGATTTAGGTGAGCTGTTATCATTAAGGTCTGATTTATACAAGGCCCTTAGTAATGTTAGGAGTTCCAACTGTGTCCCCTAATACTAAATAGGCCTGTCCCCTATGTGTTGCTTAATACTACAGTGGTACTTCGGTTTACGAATGCCTCAGTTAACATAATTTTCGGTTTACGAATGAAAATCTATTGAAAATAATGCCTCGGTTTACGATTTTTTTTCGCAGTACAAAGCAAGTTTCCCTAGAATGCATTGTGCCTGGGAGGTTTATAGCACAGCCCTCATGCATGCATTCCTATGGCAAACTGCATTTCGATTTGTGAATTTTCCGCAATACAAAACGTCCCGGAGAACGCATTAAATTCGTAAACTGAGGTACCACTCTAAATGCACCAACCAGAAGCACAGACATATCTTTACAGCATTAACTCTCTAGTGACATATGACCCACATAGGCATGGTACTAGCATGCTGATATTAAATGCAACTGTGCATGTGGCAGGGCATTTTAAACACAATGGCCCAAATCCTATTGGAATCGTGAAGCATAAATTTTACACATGCACAGTTCCCTTGGGAATTTCTGTGCAGTTGTGCAACCGACTGTACAGTTGCACAACTGGCACAGTTCCCTTGGGAATTTCTGTGCAGTTGTGCAACCAACTGTACAGTTGCACAACTCAACTACAAGCAACTGACTGTGCAACCAAACAATGGGAGTGTATAATATAACTCCTGAATTGCACCACCTTCTGACGGACAGTGCAGGGAAGAAAAAGAATGAGGTGAAACAAATCACTGGACTAAAAAGAAGTGGTACTGTTGACAGTATCTTGGGAATTTCTGTGCAGTTGTGCAACCAACTGTACAGTTGCACAACTCAACTACAAGCAACTGACTGTGCAACCAAACAATGGGAGTGTATAATATAACTCCTGAATTGCACCACCTTCTGACGGACAGTGCAGGGAAGAAAAAGAATGAGGTGAAACAAATCACTGGACTAAAAAGAAGTGGTACTGTTGACAGTATAAAGGAGAAGGGAGAGGATGAGATGGAGACTGAACCCCAGGGAAGAGCAAGGAAGGAAAAGAAGGCAGGAGGCAGAGAAAAAGGAAATGACCTGAAGAGTTCAATGCACAGGGTGGAAGCAGAAGAGAAACAACACAGCACATGGAACAGCTTGCAGGACACAGTTTTCCACAACTGCATATATTGTGTTACTGCTGGTGTCAGATACACATACATACATTCTCAATAGGATTTTAGGAAATGAGAAACACATGGATCATTTACATGGGCAATGGTATGAGACCGATAAAGATCAGGCCTCAATTTAAGATACTCAAGAATCAAGTAAATGGTTGAGGTTTTTGTTCCATGAAAAGAGCATTCTGTAGCAACCTACTGTTGACAGTTTAACCTTGAAAAATGTGAAGTTTAATTCCATGAAAGACAACAAAAAGTCTTACCAAACATTTCAGAACACCGCCAAACTCCGACCAAGCTCTGCTCAGTTCCCAAGTACAGTGGTGCCTCGCTATTGGAACGCATTAAACAAAGTTTAATGCGTTTCAATACGTTTCCCCTACCCGTTTAGCGATGATTCCGTATAGCGAGGGTTAATCCGGAACGGATTAACCTCGCTATACGGGGCACCACTGTACTTTTAAGATGTTAGTGTTAGTAGAATCTTCTTTCAGTTAAAAACCTTCTTTATTCAGAACTTACATTTCAAAGAAACTATTTCCATGTCAAAATATTTTTATTATCTGCTATTTCCTGAAACAAACTATGGGTTTTCAAATTGTCTCAGCCCATTGGGCCCCAAGTTCACTGACCTTATCATCCAAAGCATCTAAATATTCTATAATACATTAAGCTGAAAATGACTCACACCAGCTTGTGAACTGGAGTTGTACTTACTCATTTCTCCAAATATGTCTTGTACTAAAGAACAATTTCAGCAATAAACCCTGCCCTCTATAGCAGTGGTTCCCAACCTTGAGTAACTCAGGTATTATTGGACTGCAACTCCCAGAAATCCCAGCCAGCACAGCTTGTGTGAAGGCTTCTGGGAAATGCTGTCCAAAAATACCAGGGTTACCCAAGATTGGGAACCACTGCTCTTTAGGATAAAACAAGGGATCCATTTCATTTACAATATAGTGTGTTTATCCATTATGGCACTGGATTTCCAGTATGGATATTTATCTTTCCACTGTTACTACAGAGAAATCCAGCCATAATGATTTGGGGAAATGCATAGTTTGGATTCTGCATTTTTGTTGATGTCACTGCAGTATCTTGTTGAAGATGCCAGGATTATTTATCTTGATATTAGTAAAAACAGGCAACATAGTTTTATACAATGCTAGTCAAACAGACCCCTGTGGAAACCTTTTTGTTGGCCACCTGGGGCAATAGGGGACATGCTCCAATGCTAAAGCATTCTCATCTTAGAGAAGATCAACTGATCAAAATACTAGCTGATATCTCTTGCTGTTTAACCCCTCTATTCCCCCCCATGCATGGCCTTTGTAATGCTTAGCCATCTAGCTTTAAATTTAATCAGCTGTCTCATGTCATCTTTGCTTGACCTCTGTTACTGGCTTAAGTAAGTCATTGTGGAAATTAAATTTACATATTGTGCTCTATTACCTGGATCATTGTGTGAATGAGGCACAACAAAAACTTGAAGAGGTTCACTATCCCACTCATGTTCATCATAGGTGATGTCAAAACCTTGTTTCCAAACCCCACCATCTGGGTTATCAAAAGGGAGGATATCATAGACATCAAGCATCTAAAGTAGGAAAAGAAAAAAGAAAAGAACAGGCAAATTATGTCTCTTATAATTGAAGTGCCCAGTTCTATACTTCCAAAAGAATGGCTTGGGTCCCTAATTTAATATAAAAGAAACCATTAGCTCAAAAATTGTATAGAAACTCTGTCTGCATATTTCATTTATTATTTTCACATATGTATATAAACAAAACAGTTACCTAGCTCAGGGGTCCCCAACCCCCAGTCCACAGCCCCGTGCCGGTCCGTTGCCATCGCAGGACCGGGCCGCAGAAACAGATCTCCCACCTCCATGCACTCCTCTCCCAGGCACCCCACTCATGCACACAGCCTGCCACCTGCATGCACGGGTGCCCCTCCCCTCTGCGAGTACATCCCTCCCCTCTGCACATGCATGCAAGTGTACCCCTCCCCTCCGTGAGCGCACTCCTCCCATCCGTGAGTGCACCCCCCTCCGTGAGGGGGCCCAGCCCCCCCCCCCGTGCACAGACTCTGCCCCTACCAGTCTGTGGTTCAGAAAGGGTTAGGGACCACTGATCTAATTTAAGCGTAGCACATAGAAGGTTTGATCTATAGTAATCTTTGCTATAAGACTGCACCTTATGAACATGTTTTATGAATAACAACTCTTATCAATGAACTCTGACATGCAGTGACAAGGGAGAGGGCCTTATCTGTTGCTGCTCTGAGACTTTGGAATGCCCTCCCACAGGAGGGCAGGCTGGCTCCATTTTTGCTGTTCTCCTCCAAGCAGGCAAAGACCTTTCTCTGCATGCAAGCTTTCCCTTAATGACTGCTGCCTGGGTGGGGTTTTGAAATGGGTGGTTTAGTGTACTACTCTGAATTGATTTTTGGTGTTGCTTTTGTTTACTGTCTTTTAGTGTGATAGCTGTTCAATTCTTTTTAACAGTTGCATACTTGCTGTTTTTAGCTTTACATATTGCCTTTTAATGATGAAAGCCCTGCCTTGGCTCATTGATAAGGAGGAAGGAGGGGTTAAAATATTTAAAATAAATAAAATTACTATTACATTTCCAAACAATTTATTTTTTTAATTTACCGTATTTTTCGCACCATAAGACGCACTTTTCCCCCCACAAAACAGGGGGGTGGAAAGTCTGTGCGTCTTATGGAGCGAAGAAAACAGATTATATTTTCTTGTTTTCTTCTCCTAAAAAATTGGTGCGTCTTATGGAAAGGTGCGTCTTATGGAGCGAAAAATACGGTATTTATTTTGTATCATTGGGCAAGAGGACCCAAGGTGGCTCACGATGTTAAAAGAAGTAACATTAAAAGCACAACAAATTGGAGATTAGAAAAGAATTAAACATATAATAATAATAAGAAAGTTAATTAATGAAAAGTGTTTAAAACTTTAAAAACAGATTAAGAAAAGGGGGAAAACCCAGCATCCAGGGACAGTCTGGGTTATTGAAACTCTGCCTGAAGAGGTGGGTCTTCAACTGTGGGTGGAAGGATAAAGGGGGGGAGCAGCCACAAAAATTGTTTTAGTTTTCATACAAGGAAGGACGTTCATCCTACAAGTATGTTCAATAGCTTATAATTTACTAAAGGACCAATGGTGTGTTACTCCACAAATACAATTATTTATTAGTGACATTTATTAACTTTCATTTTTGTGTAACAGCTTCCTGCCAACATACTGCCACAACGTTGTTTGTTAGTAGATGAACAATGAAGGCAGGACTCAAGCAACTGGTTAGTATAGTATGCATGCCACAGTACTGGCTTGATCTTTCCTCCTAATTTACTAAAAGGTATGTAAGCAGGCTATTATACATCACATTAATGCTGTGAGCGCATTTTTTTTCTCCATGCTCAATAATAATCTTGTAAACATGGGCATCAATGTGCAGTCCTAAAACATTTTAGAAATTGATTTTATAAAGGCAGTTGCAATTGACTACAATGAAGCTAAAGCACTGTAGTATAAACTACTACCAAAAATTGGAGAACGGTAAAGAATAGCATCAATATATAATTTGAATAATATTTCTGATGAATTTTAAGTTAATATAAAGAACAGATACGCATTAACTAAACTCAGCTGACCATCAACCAGAAACCAGAGTCAGTATCAGGGAAAAAGTCTATTCCTATAGCCTAAAAATAAAAAAAGACTATTTTTATAGCCAAGTGAAAAGAAAAACTTAGATGAATGACTGATAAATATTTTACAATTTTTAATGACACACAAACAGGAAAAGAAAAGGGTGACAGAAAAAGGGTCAGAATTAGAGATGGGCACAGACCATCGGTTCCTCAGTTCATTCCAGTTTGTCCTTTGGACAAACAGGTATTTGGTGCTTCCCAGCCTGCCTCCTCTGATGGGTGCACACTCAGAGGCAGCATCCAGAGATGATGGGACAGGAAAGCCAGGGTGCTGGCTCTGAGTAAGCGCCTGCCAGAGAAGGTGTGGATGGGAACCGCCAAACACTCATTTGTCTAAAGGACGAACTAGTGGTTTGTGCCCATCTCCACTCAGAATTCAAGAGCAAGATCTAAGAAATTAAAGGGAGCTTTAAACAAGACCAGTTATACTAAAAAAAAAAAAATAAGTAAAGGAATCTATTATCTTGCTGGGACTAAAAATTCAAGCTATAGAGGCTGAATCATCAAAAAGTAGGCCCCCCATATCCGCTGGGGAATGGTTCCAAGCCCCCTGTAGATACTGAAAATCACGGATAATAGCAAACTGTCTGTCTGTCTATATACACACACACACAGCTACCTTCCTACCCACAGAGAGAGAGAGAGAGAGAGAGAGTTACAAGAGGAAAAAAACAGAAAAAATATTTTCACAAGCATTCCCAGAACTGTTCAGTAGAGGGGACCAGAGACTATTAGCAGGTAATATTCTTCACTAATAAGTATTCATAGCACAGTCTCTGTCACCCTCTAGTGGCTAGTTCTGCTAATATATGTGAAAATAGTTTTTTCTGGATTTTTTTTATTTTAATATTTTTTTATATTTTCAGAAAACAGATAAGTGAATCAATAGATACTGATTCTGTTGATAAGGAGGTCCAACTGTATATGCCAACCAATATGGGGGGGGGAACAATGACCCACAGAGTGGACAGATTTAATTCCAAATTCAAAGAGAAGATTCTTTCCAAACATTATAGCAAAGATTGTAGTCAGCACAGGACCATGGTATTAATTCTCCTACAAGCAAAGCAATGCTCAATATTTTATAATAAAAATTTCAAGCACATACAGAGTAAGAAATGCCAGGTGTCCAAGCTGGATTCTGGAAAAAAGAGGCACTAGATGTCGTATTGCAAACACACATTGGCTATTAGCAGGTAATGAAGAATTTTAAAAGATAATCAGTTTGTGTTTTATAGACTACAGCAAAGTTTTTGACTGTCTGGATCATTAAAAGCTATACATTGTTCTGAAAGAAATGAATGTGCCACAGCCATTGGTTGTTCTGATATGTAACCTATACTCTGGCTCCTGTTTGGACAGAATGCAATAAAACACAATAGTTTCCAGTAAGCAAAGGTATCAGACAAGGGTAGATTTTATTTTGCTGTCTTCAAATCACATGCAAAACACACATAGCAGGACTAAATCAGATGAACGGGGTATGAAAATTGGTGGAAGAATAATCAATAATATAAAATATAGAGAAAACTGTATTACTGGCAGAAAGCAGCAATAACTTACTTTGCTGTCATTCTCCAGAATCAGAGAAACACAACAATTTAGGACTGGATAACCTTCTACTCAATCTGTGATATTAGGAAAACTATGTGGACAACTAGTTCGATGCTAAGGAATGTCAAAAAGGAAAATGCAAAAATACAACTACAGGCCTTGGGTTTGTATGATTCAAGCATGGCTGTGAATGAGCAGGATCACATTAAGTCAGAAGTGTCTTGACAGCACACAGGAACAACAGACGACACTTCAACTAAAATATCCTGAAATATACAGTTATGTATCATGATTAAAATGTTCGCAAAATCAAATCATGGTAATCACTAAAATGGAATGAAACTTCTCAAAAATACTAGCCTGATACGAAAGCTATGTGAATTCCATCTGGAGGTGCTCTATGGTTGTACAGTGGTGCCTCGCTTAACATAGTACAGTGGTGCCTCGCTTAACGAGTGCACCGTATAGCGATGTTTCCGTATAGCGATCCCTTTTTCGGGATCGCTATACGGAAACATACCCGATCTTCGCAATGGGGAAAACCCGCATTGCGAAGATCGGGTATTGCGGCGGCCATTTTGGAGCCGCCGAACAGCTGATCGGCGGTAGCGAAGGCGCGAAAATGGCTGCCGGCACCTGGAATCCTCGCTGAACGGGTAAGTAACAAAGGTATTGGAACGCATTAAACGAAGTTTAATGCGTTTCAATACATTTCCCCTACCCACTTAGCGATGATTCCGTATAGCGAGGGTTAATCCGGAACGGATTAACCTCGCTATACGGGGCACCACTGTACTAACCATCCATATTATAATGCTCTTTTCATATTGTACTGAAGAAACATCGAGCCACTGCTCCACTGAATTTTCCCAACGTCACAGACAAAGAGGATAAGTACAAAGTTCTGCCAGTAGCCAATAGGAGTGTGGCTCTGATCCTGGTGAATGGCAGCAAAAGAACTGTGGACAAGACTAGAGGGAGCTGACATTTGAGGAAGAAACCTACATGATCTGGAAAATTAGAAGGCACAGAAAAGAAGGGTTGGGAAAGATGAAAACAGGAAAGGTGGATGGGGCNAATTGTCCAGACGGGGGGGGGGGGAGAAGGAGAAGGTCAGATAAAGGAGTCTGAAAGGAAAAGAAATTGGAAGGAAATGTTAAGACACACAGAAGCACAAATGGCCAGAAGCTGCCAAAGAATTGACAAAGGATGACATTTACATAATGATTTGAAATAACTGGCCAAATCTTGGGATGTAGGCCCTCTAGTGCTGCTGTATTTACCAAAGCCTTATCTCAAAGAGACACAACATCTATCTCCATGCCTGAACACAGCCTAGGTCAGTGACTGACTTTTTAGCTCTCTTCATATTTTAAGCAAATATGCACAAATTAAAATCTGTGTTATGGATTTATAACTGACTGCACTTCTGAGAGAATTGGTACCTGAAAGAGCCTCCAAAGATAACCTTCGGGCATGAAGGATGCCTACTATTTGTAATCTATTACAAAGGACAATATATATATATAGTTAGTAGTGGAAGAAAAACATTCTAGGGGAGCACAGATACATACAAAACTTTCAGTAAAGTACAAAGCACAAGACTCTCCATAAATAACATCACATACCGCAACCAGATGGGATTTCTCATTTACGGGAGAAGCCAACAATGAGTCACGCATACCTAGTCCACCTGAAAAGAACGGTGGTCTAAAAACAAAATCTTCTTTCGGTGGATGGCAGACAAACTTCAAGGCTTGCAAAATCTACAACTTCTTTTAACTGGAATTATAAGATCTACCACCCAGAGCCCAGTGCAAAAGATGCATATTAATATTTGGAATTAAAGAATTCTAAGCTAAGGATTTTAGTTTTGTTTTTTCAGAATGACTACAAACCAAGCTTACAGAGAAAAATGTGTTCCTGCACACCTCAAGAGTTCTTCACTTCAGCAATATAATTTCAGGGAGAAGGATAGATGGTAAATTTGATTTGCTGATTTTTTTGAAAATTAACCATTGATCATCTGGGCTACCCAACCAACCCCACTTATCACTGCACTGGAGTATGCCTCAGGTTGCAATCTGCAAACAATTTAAATTAACCTACTTGCACATCTCATCTCTTCCTGGACAGGCACCTTGAAGGCGAATTTTGCCAATGACTCCAGTAGACTTCAACGTATGATTATCTGACAGACCAACTCACTTAAGTGACATGGGAATGCAAGATGCAGCACTGTTTAAAGACTTTTCATATTTCTGTAGCAAAGGACTTACTAGAAAGACATAGACAAGTAGTAGTAAGCATTTCTCACAATTCTTACCTGTACATCTGAAGCCTGGCGACCACTTTTTAAAGCAAACAGACAATCCTCAGGATCAACTGAGAGGTATGTGGTAGTAAGAGAGGATAACTCTGAGAAATTTCCTTGACTAAAGTTTATAGCTTCTGGGGTACGCTGTCCATCTTTGACAGATTCACTCAGATTGATCACAGAATCTCTTATGTTTGAAATAATTTCATTATTTTCTGCTAGTAAGCGTTCCAAGTGGTCTATTTTCTCTTGTAGTATAGAAAGCTGACCCTGTCAAGAAAGACAACAACATCAGTCTTTTAAATATTCATGCTACATTAAATGAATATACATAATTTCCCACTTCTGAAATTTAAAACCTTACTGAATAAGTCCTTAGCTCAATACATAGGAATACAGCAAAAAAAGAACCTGTGACTATCATCAAATTGCTACAAAGAGCCTTTCCAGAAGAAGATTCAAATAGTTCAGGACTATTTAGGCATATTATTAAAGTGAACTTGTGTAGGATTTAGTCCATAAGAAGGCAAACAATGAAAAGCAGCCAATACATTTACTATAAATCAAACTAAAAGAAAGTCATTTTCAGTTTTTATCTTCTCAAGTCTACCAGCAGTCCTGTTTACAATTAAACAATATCTCAGAACTTATCCCATGATTAAGGCAGTACCCATTCAAGGCTGTATGAGGATACCCAACTGCCAAGGTCCATGAGTACGGAGTCATCTGTTTTATTATGATGAGAATGACTTTGTGTTGTGAAATATCATTTTGAGAAAGGAACTCAAAGTGGACAAACTAATGGCCTTTCATAGAACTTCCTTCAAACCACAAAACTAGGTACACACATTGTTGAAAGGATTAAAGGGGAAGTCAATCAATTTCAATATGTAAAAGTACAGTAGTCCCTCGACTTACAAATGTCCCTACTTATGACCATTTCAAGTTACGGCCAGCTCCGGCCACAAAATGTTGCTTCTACTTGCGACCGGAGCTTCCACTTACGAACAGAAAAAGGCAGGGGAAAAAGATGGGAAATTCAAATTTCTAACTGTAGGTGGCGACGAGGCTGCTTCTTTGTAGCTCTTTCGCCCCAGCAGTTAGAGACTATGTATCGGAGGAGGCTTGGGACTGCCTCTTGCTTCTGAGTGAGCGTGCGTGTGTGTTTGCAGAGAGGCTTCGGGCTGCCTGGTAAGGTAAGGTGCTGTTTTCTGCTTTTTAAAAATTGTTCTGGGTGTTTCTGCAGTGTGATTTTGAGCTGTGGGAGTTATGTTTCTGTGCTGTGATGGGTCTTGGGGGTTGTTTTTTTGGTTCCCCCCATTTCCAATAGGTCTTGGGGGAGTTTGGTTGCTTTTTGGGTTTTTTTCCCATTTCCGATGGGTTGGGGGGTTTGTTTGTTTGTTTGGCTACCCCCTATTTCCGATGGGTCTTGGGGGGTTTGGTTGCTTTTAGGGGAGATTTCCCCATTTCCAATGGGTTCTGCATGCTTTTCTTGCTTTTTCCTTTGTTTTCTTTGCATTTCCAACCTGCCCCCTTTGTTCTCTGTGCACTTCCGATCTGCTCCATTTGTTTTCTGTGCATTTCCAATGGGTCTTGCACACTTGATTTCTTTTCTTTTCTTTTCCCTCTTCAGCCGGAAGCGATTAATTGTGTTTCCTATGAGTCTTGCAGTGATTTTTTTGTGATTTTTTTTCTTCAGCTGGAACAGATTAATTGCATTTCAATGCATTCCTATGGGAAATGGTGTTTCAACTTACGACCATTTCGAGTTACGTCCATCTTCTGGAACGAATTATGGTCATAAGTCACGGCACTGCTATAGTAGGAGAAGAAAATCTCAGACAGCTGGGACTTATTCACACCCTTATTTTACTTATCAGGAAATGCAGTTTTTTTTCCTGACGAATGTCATGCATCTTCCCTCAGGCTACTGCTTCTGTTTTGCAGGCTCTAAAAGGAAATATTTCATATTTGGAAATGCATCTGGCCATGCTGTGGTTCTTACTATGACAGATAGTGTAGAAAATATGGGAGCATCAGAGGCTGTAATTTGCTTCTGGCATTATTAGCAATAAAACAAAAGAAAGTGTTCTGGCACCTTTAACACCCCAAGATTTATCCAAGCACAAACTTTTGTAGATTACAATTCACTTCCTCAGAGGTATAAAGTTCAATATTAGAGAAACTGTGTATCCATGTTATACATGACAGAGCAAAAATAGAAGAATATCTACACGGAAACCCAAATATTGTTCTCCATGAATCTGAGGAAGGGGATTCTAATCCATGACACCTCATGCTAAAATATACCTGACAAGATTTCAGAAGACAATTTGCTGGTTTGCTGGAGCAGACTAACACAGTTTTCATCTGAATATTACTAATGAAAGTTGACAAAATGCAACCCCAATCCTCTCCTCCCATTTCTATCAGAATGAACAATGATTGATATTGTGGAAATCTTTCTTAAAAAATAATTTACAGAACTGTACTTCAAGCATTCCCAAAATACAACTACTAAGTTGCTGTGCTCATTTAGCCATTTCCTTCCCAGTGCACAGCCCTCTTTTTCCTCATTCTCACTTCATCCTTGCACCAACTATGTAGAGTGGGTCAGGATGAAAACATGTGACAAGTCCAAGGTAAAGATGGGCACAACTAAAGTTGTGCTTCTTCATATAAAGATCTCTGCATGGCACCACAGGTGCCTACGTTCCCTCCTCTAATCTCCTGGGCGGCCACCCCACTCACAAGCTTCCACACACCGCCTGGGTTGCCTGGTTTCCCTTCTTTGCCTCCTCCAGCAACCAATCACTCAGAAGAGGAGGTGGGATGGGGAAGCTGGGTCCTACCTGGACTAAGCAGCTAGCAATGGAGGATGGCTCGGGTGGCATGCAGAGGCTTGTGAGTGGGGCAGTCCTTCAGGAGGTGAGGGGATGGAACACAATCTTTGCATGAAGAGGCACAACTTAGGTCCTGACCATCTCTAGCCCAAGGACATTCCATCATTTTCACAGCTCAGCAAGGATCCATCTGAATCTGGAATTCCCAAGCCCAAAACCTACATTCTAACATCCTTTCATAAGCCTAGGCAGGTACTGAAGATTCTAGTTTAACTGAGGAATACAGTCAACTACCCACTGTGGTGGAGTGCAACCATTCTCAACAGAGGCCATATGCCCTCCTGATGGCCGCTGGTACATTTGAAGGGGACCACAGACTGGAAACAATTCTTTACAGACCACCTTATAAGGCTCGTTTTGGCCAATATTCAATAAATAAATATTTCTTTCAATGTTGTATTTATGTTGGTGGCAAAAAAAAAAGCTGGTGTAGTGGAGAAAAGCTGGTGTAGTGGAGAAAGTGATGACTCAGGAGACATGAGTTTGACTCCCTACTTGTCCACGGAAACTCACAGCTGGGGATAGAATTGATAAAACTGCATCTTAAATATCTCACTTACCTTGAAAGCCCTATTAGGGTCACAATACATTGGTTCTGATTTGGCAGCACATAATATACACACATACATGTTGCTCTCTTGTTTATATGTTATACTCTTATTTACCCCTAAAGCAACTCTTGTGCAAGAAAGAGAAACTGGATGAACAAATTCTATAGACCCTACGCTGGTTGGATAGCTCAGTGAGTTAGGTACCGCTCTGTGGAGCCAGAGGTTGGGAGTTTGATCCCGCACTGGGTCTCCCAGGAGAACAGCCAACCTGTGTAGCCTTGAGCAAGCTGCACGGTCCCAAAGCACATCCAGGAGGAGGGAATGGTTAACCTGCGTAGTCTACACTTAGAGAATCCTGAAAAGGTTTGCCATGAGCCAGAATCAACTTAACAGCACGTAATTATTATTATTACAAGCCCTACAAAAGTTTTTCATTGTATGCAAAGAAATGACTAATCCTAGACATGCCATACTTTGCACAGTGCACCTTTCACTCTAAGTAACTACATTAATGATTGCTGCCTTCAATACACAGAAGCAATTTCCCATGGCAGAAAAGATTGGTATACAGTTGAAATAATTTAAAAATCCTTAAAAATATATCATTAAAATTTAGGACTCAATTTGATGTTTAGGAAGGAGAGTTTACTTCCTCTTATTGGTAAGTATGTGGCCTTTACTGGCCATGTTTAAAAAAAAAAACAGTCATCAATATTGTATTGTGCTGATGAAGCTTCAGAACAGCTAAACTGGCATTTAGGTTTATTTATTTACTTATATAATAATGTATGAATCATCTTTTGGCTCCTAAAGGACATCCAAGTTGACATTTAACTCCCAATCCCCTCCCCCCCAAAAAACCCTAACAGTTTGTTAATGGAAAGGGACGGAAGAACTTGATGTGTTGTTGTTTGCATCTTTAAAACAATCAACTAGACCTTCTGTGGTGCTTCTGTTTGCTTTGCTTCTCAAAGAAGAAGGACACTAAGTTTTGCATAGATGCATGTTGTACACTGATAATGGGGCCCTGCCAGGGTGAAAAATTTGATAGTCAAAAAAAAAATCCTCATAGCACTATAGGATATGCTGCCATGTATCTGGAACCTGGAATAGGCTGACCAGAAACTAGAGCATGGATCCAGACTATAAATCTCTGGCCACATGCCCCCTTTTTGGCCAACCATCCTGACTACATGTACTGTACTGGATTTTTACACCAGGAAATGATCACTTTTGGTTCAACATAAAATTAGCTTTCTAGACATTCTACATGACTACATTCTAGCGCTTGGACAACAACAAGCATTTACAATGTTGTCCCAGAGAGTACTATATGGAATTGAGAAACAAGAGCTACTTTCTCTAGCAAACAGAAACTGTTCCCCTAGTGCAAATGGTGCATCGCCAGTATATGGGTCAACTGCAGCTTACTTAACAACCCTTAGAGAACACCCCAGGCTTGTAGAGGATTTATGTTTGCTAGATTTAACATTCCACCCTCAGCATTATTCCAAGGTAGATTTCTGGGAATTTCCCATCAGAAGAGATATTGTCCATGCACAACTGAGGCTTCTGAATTCTTGTTCCATGTCCATCTACATCATAAGTTTGATGAAAAAAGAGATGATTTAATGTTTTCCCTCTTGCAAACATTTCAGGGCTATCTTGGTAAGCAGCTAGTTATGTATTTTTTAAAAATTGGTCCAGACTCCTTACGTTATTCTTCAAGTTGCTAACTGTTTCTTGGCTTTAATGTGAAGAAAACCTCACTTACTGGAAGATGCTTAATAACTTTTCTCGGTTCCAGTTGTTTACC